CATCAGCAAAAAAGCAACTTTGACAGCTTCCCCTTTGTGTTAGATTCTTTATCTTTTAACTCCACACCTCTTGCCAAGACCCTGGCATTCACGTCTCTTACATACCCATCTATAAATATATTGAACAACCACGGTGACATCACACATCCTTATCTAAGGCCTACTTTTACTGGGAAATAATCTCCCCCTTTCCTACATACTATAACCTGAGCCTCAGTATCCTCGTAAAAACTCTTCACTGTTTTCAGTAACCTACCTCCTATACCATACACTTGCAACATCTGCCACATTGCTCCCCTATCCACCCTGTCATACGTCCTTTCCAAATCCATAAATGCCACAGTAACCTCTTTAGCCTTATCTAATACTGTTCACCTATAAGTTTCACTGTAAACACTTGGTCTACACACTCCCTACTTTTCCTAAACCCTCCTTGTTCATCTGCTATCCTACTCTCCGTCTTGCTCTTAATTCTTTCAATAATAACACTACCATACACTTTACCAGGTATACTAAACAGGCTTATTCCCCTATAAATTTTGCACTTTCTTTTGTCCACTTTGCCTTTATACACAGGAACTATGCACGCTCTCTGCCAATTCCTAGGTACCTTACCCTGTTCCATACATTTATTAAATAATAGCACCAACTGCTCCGAAACTATATCCCCACCTGCTTTTAACACTTCTATCTTTATCCCATCAATCCCAGCTGTCTTACCCCCTTTCATTCTACCCACTGCCTCACGAACTTCACCCACACTCACAACTGGCTCTTCCCCCACACTCACGACTGACTATTCCTCCTTGCCCTATACACGAAATCACAGCTTCCTATCTTCATCAACATTTAACAATTCCTCAAAATATTCCCTCCATCTTCCCGATACCTCTAACTCTCCATTTAATAACTCTCCTTTCCTATTTTTAACTGACAAATCCATTTGTTCTCTTGGCTTCCTCAGCTTGTTAATCTCACTCCAAAACCTTTTCTTATTTTCAACAAAATTGGTTGATAACATCTCACCCACTCTCTCATTTGCTCTCTTTTTACACTGTTTCACCACTCTCTTAACCTCTCTTTTTCTCTCCATATACTCTTCCCTCCTTGCATTACATGTTCAAGTTCATCATGAGCACATGCTCACCATTAATGAAGAATGCTGAAATTCCATCCATTGTGTAAAAACACAATGGATGGAAAAATTCCTCCTCTGAATATATAAACTATGAACAATACACATCTCTCGGTGTAAATACCGTCAGGTTACACTTGTGAAACTCTGATTAAAACATAACTACTGGACGCATGAAATGGTTGACAGATGTACTTGGGTTAAAATCCATCTCCTACACGAGGGTCAATAAGCTTCCTGCCATCTGTACATCTCGTGTCAATATATATATATATATATATATATATATATATATATATATATATATATATATATATATATATATATTGACACGAAAAGGTATTTTGATAATTGAATAAGAGCGTATATTTAGAATTTTAGTTTTTTTTTTATAAAACACAAAACATGCTAACTATTAAACGCAATAGGCTAACAAAAATAATAAAATTAAGGCACAGTAATCTGAACAAAGCCTCCATGAAATAAACTAAAGTGAGAAAACAAATACAGATGTTCGAAAATTAAAATAAGGCTGGTAACGAGGATGCATTAGTAGATGCAATAATAAGGTAAAGAAGAAATAGGAGGTGCCTAGTGTAAGATCAGTGTGGGTGCACACGCTCGTTAGTGTCAGCTGAGTGTGGACATCCATTGACGTCTTTCCCCCTGAACAACCATCAATGTGAGTCTCATTAGTTTCTACAAATGAGGTTCCCAACTTACAAACACCCAAAGTCACACACATCCAAACTTACAAACTCTGCACTTAGAAAGGAATTAAGTTTTAGAGTCGCAATAAGAACGTGAGTGAAATTTACCCGTCTTTTGACCTATATTTTTTTCCTATACAGATTACTTCTTCGTAAGTCAGGAACCTTTGGTATGAAAATACTCATGCTTCATCTCTTCCCTATGGAGGAAGAATTACAAAGCTAAAAGCGTTGCATCATCTCCCCGAGCAAGAGTAATCATACCAGACGTCAGTAAACAAAGCCACAGCAAGCGTGTACACGTGCTAGTCTACCTAGACAAAAATGCAAAACTTTAATTTTTAAAGAATAAAAAGGCACAATACCGTGACTAAAACAATACACAGATAATGACGTTTCGATCTAAATCGGACTAAAACGTCGTCATAAGTTTCTTTTATGTACGGGTTGTGTCTTGAATTTTTAGTTACCTCTGATACACCTTGTAGTTCCGAGAGAAATTCTGCTCTTACAACTCTACCTTGGGCCAGGCTTAGTCAATGAATTATTCAGCATGTCATTTCTTGAAAAAATTATATGATATTTTAATAAGAAATTTTGAATTTAACAATGGTGCAACAATAAAAGGGAACTTTGTTTACCGATGTCACTTCTTACTGAGGCGGCGACTGATTTAAATCATAAAATTAAGTGTGGACATTTGTTTGTATGTCTTAAATATTTCATGAAGTGAAGCCTCTTACGAGCGCCACCTGCTGGCCATTTGTGGAACAAGAGTAAATGTTATGGCATTTACTGAAAAACAAGACTTCAGTGAAGAAATGTTTATCAAACAAGTGGAAAAGGATTATTATGACACCATTTATTATTATGCATAAGAAATAAAAAAAAAAACCGGCTGGTGGCCTGATTTGGAAAATACTTGATATTCATTTTAACAACATTTCTTATCGAGGATGAGGAGATTAATGCTGATGGAATAAATGTAACCACTGGTCATTACATAACATATGCCACAAAATGTTATTTCAGAGCACAGAAACAGTGAACAACAACAAAAGTCACCTTAGAAAATCAAACTATTATATCAACAGCGCTAATAGCGCAGTTCCTGCACATTCTGGATTTAACCTAGAGAAGTTAATGAGTATTACACAGAACTGTCCCGGAACAGAGAATTATTTCGCACAGAAGTGAAAATGATTATGATATATATCTGTCTCGTCAAGGTATTTCGTAATTAGATAAGGAACTATGATTGAAAACAAATCTTACTTGGCTGGCAATGCCCGTTGTATCTGGTTGGGAAGCTTTCCTGGAGTCTGGAAAATATCAATTATTCTTTCCAATAAAAGTAACTTCCACCAGAAAGGCACTAAGATGTACAATTAATAGATCTCAAGCATACGCAGTGACCTGTGTAAGTAATTTTTTACAGTCACGTTGAATAAGTTCATATGTTAAGACCGCCGGAGACTGACGCATACGTTCCCATCAACATTTTCCCATCCCCAGTTTGCAGAAGAAAGTAACACAGAATGTTCCTGCATGGCCTGTATCCACACAAGGCCAGCTTGTTAGACAGCACGCATGGTATGCTGTCTGAATGCTGCTTGTATTGCTGGAAAGATTCTTATGTCTCATGATTATGTTGAAAACAGCAGCTGTTGGCTTTCATTAACTTATAAAATGCAGTGTTTCGACCATACAAAAGTTTAATATTCTTTTGTAAGAGCACGATGACCGCCTCTGCTTATGTTAGGAAATCATCGCTGATTTCGGGAAATACACTTCCACGCTTTCTTCATACCTTAACCAGCAAAAAAGCAATGGTGACATAAGCCTTCGAGTTTAAATAGTCACATTTAAATTGAAATTTCATGTGCACGAATGAATCCAAAAAATTTCCCTATTCCAGGGGTTAACCAAATTTGACAGTTGTGAAGTTCATAACTTTAGGAAATGACAGTCACTTTTGTATCGATATCAACTGTTCGAATCATAATCGTTTGGAACCGACACTGTTCTGCACCTGGCACCTGGGCATTATTCAGGTGTCAGCTTCCTCGATGTTGCATCCTTCGCGATATTTTCTGCTCTGAGAAGCAAAGTTAACACTTGGTTGTTTTAGGAATAACTGAACTCATATTTACGAAGTTGTATTAATATGAGTTGAAAAGGAAAATTATTGAGTAATTTAATTTTGCTCTCATCTACATGAATAAAGGTCCACATATTTTTGGGAATTAGTGTTTGCTTAGTGCAATATGTTATGTACTAGACGTCTTTAATCATCAATATAACTGCATGTGCATAGCTCGTTATACACTGCCACACACACATTCAGCACTCACTGCACAGCTTGAAAGCTTCGTCGACAGTTTCGTCGAACTGTAACACTTGTTAGTTAACACCACAGTGCAAATATTATCCAGTTTACTAGACAAGCTACTCAATGGTAGGCAGAGTTATAATATGATTCTCTTTCAGTGTACTTACTAGATTGTTACAGTATATGGCTTTCAACACGCAGCTCCTATTAGAAAACAATGGCGATGAATTCTAGTAGGCGCCGGTTGGTGCGTCACACGGATATATACAGTCTCATGTGGCAAGCAGGGCCAGATTTCTGTGACCAGGAGAGAATACTCTTTCAAATATTCCTGACAAACTGACAATCAGCCCGATCGAACGGCACTTGTTGAAGAAGTGTCACCTCTTACTATAAACATGTTCCAAGAAAAATACTTGTTCATTCCTGCTGGTCACAGCAACTATGAGACCATAATACTTAAAAACTCATTTGCTTGTAAATCAAGGTGCCAGCCAGGCTTCGCCTTAATTCCCGGCTTGGCCGCCCCATTATGCCTAGTTATTATTCGCATAGTATCAATTATATAAACCAGATTGATCCCATAAAATAACAGTATATATATGAAATTCACAATGTACAAAATAACCACTGTGAAAAAATAGTAAAATTCCAAGCTTTTGGAATTTCATTATTTTTTTTCATTGTGGTTATTTTGCTCATAAATCAGTTTATAAACAAAGGAAGTGGTACAAGGAATCACATTCTTGGATATTCATTTAAACTCTAAATACGAAAAAATAATAGGTCTAGTCAAGTCGTATTTCGAATATCGATCACTCACCAAGCGGTCTGGAACGACAGTAGCGAATGGTTCGTAGAGTTTGCGCTAACATGTGCATCTTCTCAAAATTAACAAGACCATCCAGCATTGTGCGGTTTCCTTCGTGTGTGAATGTCATATCTGAGGATTAATAAAGAGGTATAGCTAAAATATAAATAATAAAATAAGTGTTACAAATTTTATATCATGCAAAAACAACATAATCTGTGTCCCCCCCCCCCACTATGCAATTATACTATACTAAAGGTTAAATATGCTTTACATTTTTTTAAACTTCAGCTTAACTAAGGCTTATATACCTTATTCTGATACGGTCATGACTTGTTAACTTTGAACACTAGAATTAGCTGTGTGGCAAATTGGCTTCTCAACTATGACAATACTCTTCAACTAATTTACCCAAGTCTGTCCTTAAATATAATCTGCTTTTACATGTTAATGTGATAAAATATATAAATATTTAACTTCCATGTTCGTCTTATCATATCTGTATATATGACAAAATATGAAGACACATAACTAGTCACACATTTTCTGTCTCTGACGTCCTGTATACCGGAAATAAATATAACGAGAAAAAAGACTGTATTGTAAAAACAAGAATGTTATTATTCTGCTTTATACAATGACTGAAACAGTTTTATATAATTCCTCTCATAAATCTTTACCATGAGTTTCATGCTCTTCCTGAAGCCCAGCCTCCAGCCTAACATCTACAAGTGTCACTTCTATATCAATGATTTCCATTCCTTCCTGGGTGTGCAGCCCTACATCACCAAGCCACATGAAGAAAAACAATTAATATTTTGCATGGAAATTTTAGATTTTAACGTTTTCTCTCGCCGGGTCACCATCTGGAGAAGACCCGCGCCGGAAGTACCGGCAAATTTCTAATGAACGTTTTCTTTCTTGCGTAATATAAAGTGTTTTTGCAGATGTGACGATATTGCTTGTCACCCAGATGAGCGGCCATATTGGTTACATACCATATGCAAAACAAAATGTGATGTGTTTAAAAAAATAGAATGGTGAATTATTCAGACGCTTCTGTTGTGAAATATTTACTTTTTAAATTTATGGTTAAATTAACATCAAAATAATCAGAGTGATACTTTGTAATATTTAATTAACACTACATGCACAGACTTAATTAATCAAGTTGGCCTTCAGACATATGAAAGAGACAGGTATGAAGTCAAGTTACAATTTATTAATGGTGAAGATCAACATGGAACGACTGCAGCTGTTTTATCAGAATTTGTCAGACGACATGCAAGTATAATATATCCAAATACTGTTAACTACTTGGTATTTTCACCTAATCTCTACACATTAGAAGATTTAAAGTTATAATGGTTTATGTGTACAACAGTTGTGTCCCGGGATGCGTATGACAAAGGAAAGTTTTTGGCTTTTATTTAATAGTAAATATTGTTTTTTTTTATTTTATAAAAGTTACCACATGTAAATGTTTAGGCAACTTACCCTAGCTAAAGAAGTGTGTTTTAATGACTAATTTCATATATAAAAAATGATGCTCCAAAATGTTACCAGTAAACTAAAATAAAAAAATACAGATTTAATCTCCCACATTAATTCGTCGCAATAATCATCTACCTAACATTAATATTTATTGATGATATGGTAATTTTTACCTGACAATTGTTTGAGGATTATATCTTAAGAAATTGTTTTTGTAGAGGTAGTCACAAGGATTTACGAGGTCAAAAATAACAATATTATCATATCGACATGAAAATTTGCATATTTAGCTGTTAAACGAAGCTGCAATACCTACATCATTTTATTAAAAACTAACAAACTAATTTTAAGATAAATAATATTGGCAGAATACATTTTCATGAAAAAAGTAAAATTCCTAAAATTTTCAAAAACATTTGAAACTGTTGTCACTCTAAAAACATTTTTCAACATCTTCTACATGCAACTCTAAATGTAAACAAACTTCTTTTTAAATACGATTAAATTAAATAAGACAATGCAATGAAGTGAAACTGAGAAGGAAACAATAAGAGAGGAATAGGACCGTGTGAGAAGCAAGTGAAGACTTATTACGACATAACATTGTACCCTTCATGAGGAGAGGTGTGAAGGGTAGGATGGGAGGATGAAGCTTGGCTACGTAGATCCTGTAAGCTCGATGGTTCTTCGATGGGTCAATCAGCATCTCAAATTCTGTATACATTTTGCGAAACCTGAGAATTTAAAGGTATCAACACTCTTCTAACTATCAGGTATTAGAGAAATATTTAAAATATGCATTACAGAACAATTACTTTAATGTTAAAAAATATGCATGTAAAAGAGATTACCTTAAGAAGCACTTTAAGAATCTGAGAATAAAAATTGTGGCGATGTGAATTTTTTGGGGAAAAATTCACGTGACAAAAGTGCTTTGATGTGAATGAAGAGACAAATTTTTTGACAGTGTATTAATGTACTATTTTCAGACAACTGTCCTATTATACTTTTTATTATTTGTAATATATTCAGAACCATGCATAGAAAATATAAACGCATTTCTAAATCATTAAACTGTAATGAATTAGAAGAAAAGTGGAACAATAGAAGTTGTTCAATAAGCATCAATAGACGATGAATGTAAAATGCAAATCGTCTTATTCACTCTTCCTGTCGATCAGAAATTCTAATGAAAAATAACTTGCCGCAGTTATCTACATTTATGGCACGTAATATTTTTATACTAATGGTTTAGCTTATGGAGATTAAGGAATAAACATAGACTGATAAACACGAAATAATTACTAACTCAGCATATATTGACATATTCACAGCTAGCAACAAGAAGTGTTCCCATTATAACACTATTATCAGTAACAATCATCGTAATTATTTCTGATGCTGTTTCTAATATTTCTGCTATTTGTATTTTCATCCACACTGATATAATCTATCAAACAATGTTGCAATAATGAATCATCGTAAATGAGTACAACAAAAACATTAACAATGAAACAAGAGGACCCTCGCAGTGCCACATCTGCTCTCTCACCTTGAGGACAGGCGCTCCCAGGTCTGTGTGAGGCGAGATATAGCAACATTGCTTAGGCCTATGACAATGGCAAAGAAAGCGTTCAAGTTCTGGTGTTCTTTACAGCTGAAAAAACAATATGACCATCAATCCATAAATTCAGTGAAAGCTATACATTAAGCATTTAATGTTATGATCCTCACGAAGATGATAATTGTGAGGTTGGGAGAGTGATGATGATAGTAATAAGAATGATGATGATGGTAAAGTACTAAGCGTTTTTTTACATTAGGTGCTTTGCTATTGTTATGTACGACCATTTTGAGAATCGGTGGAATGTTTACATTTTTTGTTGCTAAAAACAGTAAAAAAATATTTTTAGTTTTTCACATACTGGTAATGAGGATTGATATTGTCTGACGGTCCACTAGTAATTGTAACTTTCATCAGCCCCTCTTTCACGAGTGATTAAAATATTCACTGGTACTCCTTCCCAGAGTGATCGAAACACTCGCCTGTACTCCTTCCCAGAGTGATAGAAACACTCACCTGTACTCCTTCCCAGAGTGATAGAAACACTCGCTAGTACTCCTTCCCAGAGTGATAGAAACACTCGCCTGTACTCCTTCCCAGAGTGATCGAAACACTCGCCTGTACTCCTTCCCAGAGTGATAGAAACACTCGCCTGTACTCCTTCCCAGAGTGATCGAAACACTCGCCTGTACTCCTTCCCAGAGTGATAGAAACACTCGCCTGTACTCCTTCCCAGAGTGATAGAAACACTCGCCTGTACTCCTTCCCAGAGTGATAGAAACACTCGCCTGTTCTCCTTCCCAGAGTGATAGAAACACTCACCAGCACTCCTTCCCAGAGTGATCGATACATTCGCTTGTACTCCTTCCCAAAGTGATCAAAACGTTCACTAGTACTCCTTCCCCGAGTGATCGAAACGTTCACCAGTACTCCTTCCCCGAGTGATCGAAACGTTCACCAGTACTCCTTCCCCGAGTGATCGAAATACTCATCAGTCACTCTTCCACTAGCAGGAAACTGGCAGAGATATATTCCGGGAGCAAAATTTTTTTTTGTTTTGTAATGAATACATAATGTATACATGAGTTATTAAACGCCTAAAAATACTTGAAAATGTATAAAATAAATTGAAGCAGTTTAACTATACTTTAAGGGCAATAATACAGATGGATCAGATCAAAATAAGTTTATATTGTATGAATTAAAAACATCTGCAATTAGCAGGTATTACTCTAGCCCTTTGACTGTTTAGGTCGTATATATACGTCTTACGAGCCACCGTGTTTGACATACATATACTCAAAAATTCTGGCGGCTTCAAATCAAGCAGGAGAAGGTGTATTTTTGTATAGTATTTATGGTTGTATTCTCGTTTTCGTGGTCTCATTTGATAAATGGAAGACATTTTATAGAAATAAATGCGATTTTGATTGGTTTTACTATGAAAAGAACCTTAAAATGGAGCTCAAAGTTGGGAAAATATTTGATTTTTGCCGATGTTCAAAAGTAAACAAATGATGTCATTGTCCAATAAATGTCCAAGTAGCCATTCTAATATGCAGTCATGAATGGGTTGACATTATTTATACAATTATTACAAAATTGCAGTAGTCTACATAACAGTAAGTCTTCTACTTTTTGTTTGAATGAAAATTCAAAATAGAAAGCAAAGAATAATATCAGAGGGGCATGGAAACGTAACTAATGAATAAAGAAAATGTTATTGTAGAGCCGGGAATGTCTGCATTGTTCATTCTAGACCCTATTTCGAAATTGGCATATTTTTTATTTTGCGTGAAATTGGCCAAATTGGAAAATTCTGACCACGTTATTGGGTAGTTGAAATCCGTAAATGACCAGTTTCTTGTACGCAATCGATAGAACAAATGCAGTTCTGAAGAACTAGCTATGAGTTTGGTCGACTGGAACAATGGAATTAGCCGAAAATAGGGCTCAAAGTGAGCGAAATCGCCGATTCGTAGATATCGCCAAGGTCGCTAACTTCGCGAGAGCGTAATTCCGCAAGTTTCCCATCAATTTTCGTTCTTTTGGTGTCATTACCATCGGGAAAAAGATTCTCTCTCATTTCATAAGAAAAAATATATTTTTTTAAATTTTTCGATACCAGGAGACACCTCAGGATCTGGGGTTGAGACAGTCAAAGGGCTAGAATAACTAGAGTAACTAAAAATTAGTGTAAAAATAAAAATGTAGTTCGTCTACCAAAAAGATAAATAAAAGCGTAATACTTAGTGATTGATATTAATTTATATTACATTAAATTCACAAAAATTCTATCTGATCACGTACATAAAAGTATGTATCAGCTGACAGTTGCTGACACTTGACATCTGTCGGAGGAAGGTGAACCTTCAGTGCTCACGTAGGTGAGTGTTGCGCCTCCCTCTAGGGAATTAGGTATCGTGATATGATGTGTCAAGGATACCTGTCTCATAGCCAGAAGTTCTAGGAAATAGCTAATGATGAGCTGCATGGTCAGTCAGTCATCATGAGAGCACGAGTCATTTACAGAGGCAGACCAAGTATGACAGGAAAGGGGACAGTAAGTTATAAAGACAGGGAGCGCATCTGCTAGCGACCTGCCAGTGATTCTGGTAGCGACCTGTCAGTGATCCTGTTAGTGACCTGTCAGTGATCCTGTTAGTGACCTGTCAGTGATCCTGTTAGTGACCTGTCAGTGATCCTGCTAGTGAACTGTCAGTGATCCTGGTAGTGACCTGTCAGTGATCCTGTTAGTGACCTGTCAGTGATCCTGGTAGTGACCTGCTAGTGATCATGCTAGTGACCTGTTAGTGATCCTGTTAGTGACCTGCCAGTGATCCTGTTAGCGACGTATCAGTGATCTTGTTAGTGACCTGTCAATGATCCTGTTAGTGACCTGTCAGTGATCCTGCTAGTGACGTATCAGTGATCCTGGTAGTGACCTGTCAGTGATCTTGTTAGTGACCTGTCAGTGATCCTGCTAGTGACCTGTCAGTGATTCTGGTAGTGACCTGTCAGTGATCCTGTAAGTGACCTGTCAGTGATTCTGGTAGTGACCTGTCAGTGATCCTGTTAGTGACGTATCAGTGATCCTGGTAGTGACCTGTCAGTGATCCTGTTAGTGAGGTATCAGTGATCCTGGTAGTGACCTGTCAGTGATCCTGTTAGTGACCTGTCAGTGAACCTGCTAGTGACGCATCAGTGATCCTGTTAGTGACCTGTCAGTGATCCCTGTTAGTGACCTGTCAGTGATCCCGTTAGTGACTTGTCAGTGATCCTGCTAGTGACGTATCATTGATCCTGGTAGTGATCTGTCAGTGATCCTGTTAGTGACGTGTCGGTGATCCTGGTAGTGACCTGTCAAAGCTCCTGTTAGTGACTTGTCACTGATCCTGGTAGTGACGTATCAGTGATTCTGGTAGTGACCTGCCAGTGATCCTGTTAGTGACCTGTCACTGATCCTGGTAGTGACCTGTCAGCGATCCTGTTAGTGACGTATCAGTGATCCTGGTAGTGACCTACCAGTGAACCTGCTAGTGACGTATCAGTGATCCTGATAGTGACCTGTCAGTGATCCTGTTAGTGACCTGTCAGTGATCCTGTTAGTGACCTGTCAGTGATCCTGGGAGTGACCTGCTAGTGATCATGCTAGTGACCTGTTAGTGATCCTGTTAGTGACCTGTCAGTGATCCTGTTAGTGACGTATCAGTGATCCTGTTAGTGACCTGTCAATGATCCTGTTAGTGACCTGTCAGTGAACCTGCTAGTGACGTATCAGTGATCCTGTTAGTAACCTGTCAGTAATACCGTTAGTGACCTGTCAGTGATCCTGCTAGTGACGTATCAGTGATCCTGGTAGTGACCTGTCAGTGATCCTGTTAGTGACGTATCAGTGAGCCTGGTAGTGACCTGTCAATGATCCTGTTAGTGACCTGTCAGTGATCCTGCTAGTGACGTATCAGTGATCCTGGTAGTGACCTGTCAGTGATCCTGTTAGTGACCTGTCAGTGATCCTGGTAGTGACCTGTCAGTGATCCTGTTATTGACCTGTCAGTGATCCTGTAAGTGACCTGTCAGTGATTCTGGTAGTGGCCTGTCAGTGATCCTGTTAGTGACCTGTCAGTGATCCTGTAAGTGACCTGTCAGTGATTCTGGTAGTGGCCTGTCAGTGATCCTGTTAGTGACGTATCAGTGATCCTGGTAGTGACCTATCAGCAATCCTGTTAGTGAGGTATCAGTGATCCTGGTAGTGACCTGTCAGTGATCCTGTTAGTGACCTGTCAGTGATCCTGTTAGTGACACATCAGTGATCCCGTTAGTGACTTGTCAGTGATCCTGCTAGTGACGTATCATTGATCCTTGTAGTGATCTGTCAGTGATCCTTTTAGTGACCTGTCAGTGATTCTGCTAGTGACCTGCCTGATTCTAGTAGTGACCTATCAGTGATCCTGCTAGTGACGTATCAGTGATCCTGGTAGTGACCTGTCAGTGATCCTGTTAGTGAGGTATCAGTGATCCCGTTAGTGACCTGTCAGTGATCCTACTAGTGGCGTATCATTGATCCTGGTAGTGATCTGTCAGTGATTCTGTTAGTGACGTATCGGTGATCCTGGTAGTGACCTGTCAAAGATCCTGTTAGTGACCTGTCAGTGATCCTGCTAGTGACGACGTATCAGTGATCCTGGTAGTGACCTGTCAGTGATCCTGGTAGTGACGTATCAGTGATTCTGGTAGTGACCTGCCAGTGATCCTGTTAGTGACCTGTCAAAGATCCTGTTAGTGACCTGTCAGTGATCCTGCTAGTGACGACGTATCAGTGATCCTGGTAGTGACCTACCAGTGAACCTGCTAGTGACGTATCAGTGATCCTGATAGTGACCTGTCAGTGATCCTGATAGTGATCTGTCAGTGATCCTGTTAGTGACCTGTCAGTGACCTGTTAGTGATTCTGATAGTAACCTGTCAGTGATCCTGATAGTGACCTGTCAGTGAATCTGCTAGTGGCCTGTCAGTGAACCTGCTAGTGACCTGTCAGTGAACCTGCTAGCGACCTGTCAGTGATCCTGATAGTGACCTGTCAGTAATCCTGTTAGTGACCTGTCAATGATCCTGTTAGTGACCTGTCAATGATCCTGATAGTGACCTGTCAGTGAACCTGTTAGTGACCTGTCAGTGAACCTGCTAGTGACCTGTCAGTGGTGACAGAAATTTTACCAGGTGATAGATAAGGCTTTCCATTCCTCTCTCTGAAAATGAACTATTCTTTCTCTAATTACCTGCTGAAATATATAAATTTCTACTTACTAAATAAAAAAAACATTATAACCGCAGTATTGTAGCCAGAGTATCGAACCTGTAAAGTAGTTCTGTATATATTGTATATATTGTAGCTTCAATATTGTTTTTTTTTTTCATTGAATTAGTTTTATTACTTTCTTTTTAATATTTGTTAAACACATTTGGTGTTTCCCCAGGATATCGTAAAAGGAAACACATTCGTTATCATTCATTCCCTCAGAGTCTTTCCATATGTGTAAAGACCAAGATTCATTGATCGATCAGCAATCTAAGAACAACATTTACATCTGATTTTCAAAGTGCAGGCACTTCACCTACGCTTTTACACTCATAGAAGTATGAGGCAGCAGGGTAAAGTTACTAGGGGAATCTTTGTCGTCACTTCAAAGGACTGGGAAGGCTGTGTGGCCAAGAAAGTCAGAATCAACGAGGAACTGGATCTTGAAGACATAAATCAGAATGATTGGAAAAGAGGTAACTCATTCACATTTTCTGTTATGACTACAGCTAAAGCTGGTCAGAAGGTACCTAGTATCAGCTAGGCTCCCGCCCAACACAGTCAGCAGCAAGTCTGGCTTACCATCAGGCTTCAGCTAAGCTCCCACTCAGCACAGTCAGACAGTCAGCAGTAAGCATGATCTACCATCAAGCTTCAGCTAAGCTCCCACCCAGGTTACTTTCTTTTCATATTTCTGCTGCATTTTCCATATTTATGTTACAATCCACTGGGAAATCACACACCTTGTCTCAATTCAGTCCTAATTCCAGAACTCAGGAAATTTCTCATTGGCTTAAACGAAATTTTACTCCACTACAGTTTTATACTGGTACTATTAACGTTTCAACGTAGGGAGTAATAAACCCGTAAGGGTCATACAGCGCATGAGGAATGGGAGGCAATCATATTTAGTCCAAGAAAGGGAAGGGTAGCTTCAATTTGTTGGATCACAAGCCCGTCACCTGCATCTCAACAACGCACTGTACACTAAAGGGACAACAAACAGAAATTAAGCTTTCTCACAAACTTTTATATTATCTTTAAATTCGAATGTCCCTCACATGTATGACAACAATGAAACTTCTAAATGTAAATTTTTTTTTTACACTTACTAGCAAGAAAAAAAATTCTAGGTTTCCCTAACCATGTTCCAGACATTTGCGTTGTCGTCTACGATGCGCACGACTATGAGAAAAGGAACCTTTTCACTTTCTCGGAGAAAGCGGAAAAGAAACCTTATAGGCTTAAGAATTAGTCTCAGAAATGAAGAGGAAATAACAGGTAAATAAATGAAGGAGAGAGGAAAATAATAAGGCTTACCTGCGGTCTCAAAAATTAATGAGCTCCCGATTTTTATTAGTGTAATATGAGGTCTATACTTCCATCTCTAATAACCAGGTAAAACATCAATACTTAGCAAAGTGAAACAGAAAACCTAAATTCTTAAATGTTTAAATTATATATCGATATATTTTTCTGCATGGATTATTTGTACAAAAATATAAATGCTTACATTTAAATAAGCAGAAAGTAATTATCATAAAACCAGTAAGAAAAAAAATCAAAACATACTATGCAGCCAACTTGATAAACTTCCTGAGGAGTTGAGTGCGCTTGGAGAGTGCGTTGGCCAGACAGATCTCTGTCACCACCCAGTACTGGATCTCATTGAATCGACGCAAGAACACATCCAGGTTACACATAACTTGTCCGAAGTGGTCGCGGCCAAACACCTGATACAGGAACTCATACTGTAGAAGACACAGATAACGAATTTAAAAGTATTTCAATTTACTTGACAATTTAAAATTTTAATACTACAAAATGAGCAGAAAACAACAACAGTTATTTAGGTAAGAGGTTAACATGTAAGAAATACTTTGAGAAAGTTTATTTTATTTTCAGTGTCAGAGTACAATATTTCGTAGTTAGTGTAAGTGAAGGCATCAGACTAAATGGGGATCAACGTATAACTGAACGTTCTCACTCACACGCAGGAACTGAGGCCCCTGCAGCTAAAAATGTGATTACACACAATGGATCAATACATAACTTCAAGAACAGGGAGGATAGTAATTATGAAGCCAGGGGAGAGAGAGAGAGAGAGAGAGAGAGAGAGGAGAGAGAGAGAGAGAGAGAGAGAGAGAGAGAGAGAGATTAATAGCAACCAGTCGAGAGGCTGAGCAAGAAGCTGAGACTCCAGCAATGCAACCAAGTTAGATTTAAACACATACACACAAACACACTCACGATAGGTGAAGAGGTGAAAAACTTTTGATGTAAATAGATACCTCATAGGCTATGGCACTATGAAACTCCCTGGGTTCTGAGAGAGAGAGAGAGAGAGAGAGAGAGAGAGAGAGAGAGAGAGAGAGAGAGAGAGAAGAGAGAGAGAGAGAGAGAGAGAGAGAGAGAGAGAGAGAGAGAGAGAGAGAGAGAGAGAGGCACCTTGAGTATGCTCCACTTTCTTGGTTTGCCTGCCCCCCCCCCTCTCATCTGCGACTGCTTGACAGAGTAGAGAACAGAGCAAGACGTCTCATCTCTCGCCTGGACCCATCCTGGATAGATCTGTCATTTCAGCAGAGCCTTCAACATAGGAGGGATGTGGGTGGCCTTACTGTCATGTATAAGGCCAATATTGTCAAAGTACCAAACTTGGATCCACTTCGAGGACTGCGTGAAACAAGCTTTTATGCCACAAGACGGGCAGAAAGCAGCAACTTCACTCTGGCTGTACCCTTCTCCAGAACTTCACTCCATCTGAGATCCTATATACCCAGGACGACTCAAGTATGGAACACATTCGTACAGCATAATGATGTCAACGAGATAAAGTCAGTTGATCAAATGAAAATGCTGGCCCACAGATGGCTCCAACTTCATCCTGCTCCCTAATTGAATGTCTCATAACAATAAAAATGCTTTCAAATGAGCTGATGTAGGTAACAGCTCTTAGCTTGCCAATAAAGTTAGGAATCCTTAACCTGTAAATAGCTTGTCAATAAAGCTACGGATCCTTAACCTAGTCAAACCCTGTGTAAAAAAAAAGGAGAGAGAGAGAGAGAGAGAGAGAGAGAGAGAGAGAGAGAGAGAGAGAGAGAGAGAGAGAGAGAGAGAGAGAGAGAGAGAGAGAGAGAGAGAGAGAGACAGACAGACAGACAGACAGACAGAGACAGAGAGAGACAGACAGGGACAGAGATAGAGAAAGAGAGAGAAGAGGAGGAGTCCACACGCACAACCTGGCTATGGGAAAGAGGTAATTGGCCAGCCCTTTCCTCTAAGCTCGCCACCACCAATTCGAATGCTCTTCTCCAAGGGGATATTGACAACCAAGTGAAAGCCTTCACTGGACACATCCTTAATCTACAACAAGAACACATTCCTCACCGGCAATATGTGACAAAGCCTACAGATCAGCCTTGGTTTGGCTATCGTTGTAGAGAGGCTGCTACTGCTAAGTGCAAGGCATGGCGAAGGTATAAGAGACATCCTACCACCTATAACAGGAACTTGCACAGGCAAGCCTGTAAGCATAAGGGTGACGTTCAAAAGTGGGCCATCGCTAAATGGGAGATGGACACAAGAAGAAAGCTAGCATCAGGTGGGGTAGGCTCCAAAACCTGGTGGTCCCTGGTCAAGGACAGACAAGGTTATCTGCCTGATGAACTCATTCCACCTGTAAATCGACAGAATGGGACCACCTCCATTACCAGTCAAGAGAAAGCGGACCTCTTTGCCGAACACTTTGCTACAAAAATGCAAGTTTCTGATCCAGCAAGGGACCCTCCTTGGCTAGCTGCAAGAACTGTGTCAAAACTGTCAGTGGTGACAATAAGGCAGGAAGAGGTGCACTTCCTTCTTAAATCGCTTGACCAAGAAAAGGTTGTGGGCCCAGACAAGTTGAGCCCAAGATTGCTGAGAAGATGTGTCTCTAACTCGCATCTTTCAGCACTGCCTAGTACAGTGTAAATGGCCTCTGTGGAAAGAGGCAAATGTAGTCCCTGTTCACAAAAAGAAGAGCAGAGCAGAAATCAGCAACTACAGACCAGTGTCACTCTTGTCAATCACAGGCAAGCTCCTTAAGACAATAATCTCATGACAAATGACAGAGTTTTTTGACTATCACTCACTACTTTGTGACCGTCAATATGACTTTAGGAGAGGTTACTCTGCTGCAGATCTGTTGTTAAACCAATCTACTAAGTGGCACCAGTCACTGGATGAATCCAAAGTCAGCTGTGTGGTAGCACTGGACATTGCTGGCGCTTTCGACCGAATGTGGCACCAGGGCCTCTTAGCAAAACTGCAAGCTCTGGGAATTGCAGGCTCTACGCTATGTCTCCTCAGTGATTACCTTCATGGTAGATCTCTAAAGGTAGTTCTCAATGGAACAGAATCAGCAAGACATCCTATCGGGGCAAGTGTTCCACAAGGAAGTGTTCTGGGACCATTGTTATGGAATGTCTACTTCAACGACCTTCTTCATCTCATCCCAGAATCCCATGCATATGCAGATGAATCCTTAACCTGTAAATAGCTTGTCAATAAAACTAGGGATCCTTAACGTAACCTTCTCAAACCTTGTGTAAAATAAAAAAAAAAAAAAAACGGTGGAATTTACGAGTTGCTATCTTCAACAAGTTAAATGATACAGAACAGCAGCCAGAGTATGGAAATAAGCAAATATAATCCTGTTAATTAAGAGGATAGATAGCTAACGTTAAACTACAGGCCACTGTCATTTACATGAGTAATATGTAATGCTGTGTAGAAGACTATCAGGAAAGGAGCATGACCCTAAACAACAACCAGCACTGTTTCAGTAACGGAAAATTCTGTCTCACTAACCTGCTAGAGTTCTATAAAACGTAATAAAAGCGAGGCAAGAGAAATAGGGATCATAGATGAGATACAGTGAACTGTAAAAATCTGCAGCAAATGCTCTCTTGTTTTTATAACTATGGATGGAGTCTACCTCCAACACTTCATCGATCAGTTCATTCTACTTTCTGACCACCCTAAAGCCGAAGAAATACTTCCTGGTGTTCCTGTGGTTCATTTATATCTTTAACTTCCAGCTGTGCCACTGGGTGCCTGTTTCCCATATCTCAAACAGCGTATCCCTGATTGGCCAATCTATGGGTAGGTTTCAGGAACTTCAGCAGAGAGTCATTCATTACAATATATTGACCATATATATACCAAACATATCTTGTGTGTGCAGTACCAGTATGGAAACGTTGCCTGATATATCATGTGAAAAAGCTGGAAAGGCTTGGAGATGAAGAGCATGAGCTATGAGCGGCTAGAGAAGCTCTACCTAACATTAAAGGACAAATAGAACAGTGATATACTCTAGGATGTAATGCCCAGACTCTTTGTTCGTTGCTCATCTATTAGGAGGGGAAGAGACATAGTTGGTGTGCAGTGCAACAGGTAAAGAGATTCAGGCATGTAGTGAGGATAGGGGATAATAGGGAAAGTGTGTGAGTTTACTGTTAACACTGGGGATGAGAGGTAGGCCTTCAATTGGGTCTGTCAGAAGATAGGCAGGAGGTAAGCACTGAGAGTTTCCTAGAAGCTGAGTCTTCCCTCGTTCTGCTACACTCTTCTGTTTCCCTTTCCTGTATACCAGGAGTATACCCGGAGAAGGTTTCGGGGATCAACGCCCCCGCGGCGTTGATCCCCGAACAGGCCTCCTGGTGGGTCAGGGTCTGATCAACCTGATCAACCGACGTACGAATCGCAGCCCGGCTGATGATGTACTGACTTGAAGCGCCTGTCCACTGCCTTCTTGAAGACAGCAAGGAGTCTATTGGTAATCCCCTTATGTATGCTGGGAGGCAGTTGAACAGTCTTGGGCCCCTGGCACTTATTGTGTTGTCTCTTAGTGTACTCGTGGCGCCTCTGCTTTTCACTGGGGAGATGTTGCATCCCCTGCCGAGTCTATTGCTTTAATAGGGAGTGATTTTCGTGAACAAATTTGGTACTACTCCCTCTAGGATTTTCCAAGTGTATATTATCATGTATCTTTCTCGCCTGGGTTCCAAGGAATACAAATCAGGGGACTTCAACCGTTCTCAGTAATGTACGTGCGTTATTAAACTTATGTGTGCGATGAAGGTTCTCTGAACATTTTGGAGGCCAGCAATTTCGCTTGCCTTGAAAGGGGTCGTTAGTGTATAGCAATATTCCAGCTTAGAGAGAAAAAGCGATCTGAAGAGAATCATTATGGGCGTGTCATCCCTAGTTTTGAAGGTCTCATTATCTATCCTAACATTTCTCTAGCATATGTTGTTGTGGTCTTTGAAAGCGAGATCCACTGACATTATCACTCCCAGGTCCTTCACATTAGTTTTTTGCTCTATTGTGTGGTTGGAATTTGTTTCATACTCTGATACGTTTTTAATTTTCCCAAGTTTTCCATATCGGAGTAATTGAAATTTCTCTTCACTGAACTTCAAATTGTTTTCTGCGACCCATGTAAGGATTTGTTTACTGTCCGCTTGGAGTCTTGCAGTGTCTTTGATGGATGACACTGTCACTTAAATTCGGGTGCCATCCGCAAAGGAAGACACGGTGGCTTACATCTCTGTGTCAGATATGAGGATGAATTTTTACATGCTCCTCAACTGTTCCTTCTCTACTGGCGTTCAGTCTTAATCCAAGTACACATGGTGATATCTTAGTCTCCTCGTAATTTGTTTATGTCTTGAAATCGCATGTTGAAATGATTATGACTGGAAGACTT